CAGATTTTTTTGAAGCCAAATTCTATGTCCCTATATTTCGCGCTTGCGCATTATTGATCGGAAACAACAAATCCTGGGCCGTGGACAGAGTCGGACTAGGATTTTTTGTGGATTAACATTGAGAATATAACGGGATCATATAATAATGAACAAAGATTATGTGAATGTATAGAGTAAACCTAATATGAAATATGTAAATATAAATACTTACAATCGTTCATCGTTCGGGAAACTAAAATATCCTAAGCCTGGGCTAGTTCTAGTGTTGTTTTTACAGACAAAACAGGAAGCAACCATGATAATACACAATAGATAAACGATAAAACAGTCAAGTACATAAAAATCGCGAATAACACGGAAAGCAAAACACTTTTAACAAAGCCGAATTTCAAATTGATGAATTTTCCAGTTACTTTTCAATTTCCTGAATAATTTCAGTCAAAAAACTTCTCTTCTTTTTTTGTAATACAATCCTGTTGCGTGTCTCGTTTGACAGGTATTTCTCGCGGGTTCTCACCCAAACTATCTCTATCTCTTTTTTGCGTGCAGGATTGGAAAGAGACATGTATATGCCGAACTGCTTTTTCAATTTGAGAGATTTGTTCACTCATTGAGCGCATGCGCAAGATATGGGTCAAAATTCTCCTATTGGTTGGAGAATTTGGCCTCAAAAAATATGGAGAGTTGTACAACTGTATCGCTCCAACTTTTAGCGATAACTTTGGCATGCACACGCACGCACTTATCATGACCTGAAATAGGTATAGCCCTGACGGAAATATTTGGATATGTAATTTTTCACAGAAATATTTTACGTTAGCTGCAGCACCAATTTCGGTGACTTATGCGAGCATACAGGAAGGAATAATTGATGTTGGGTACCAAATTATTTTTGGCTTGTCCTGGATAATTTTCATAGGTATCCTTACAATGCTAATAGCCTATTACCTGATTCTTTGGTGTAGAAAAAGGCAAAGGGCAGAGCCCAAAACAGCAGACGGAACAGGAAATGAAAGCGTTCCTGATCGTAGCATCCAAAAAGTTTATTTTGCATCTGAGTGATGATCAGGACCTTCTTTCATTAAACCCAGGCGAAAAACGTGATGTAGTTATAGAACATGCTGATTCAGCATAGAACACCAAATTAAAAGTGTTTATGAATATATTATTTTAAGCCATCTAAGACCGGGGAACAGGATATGTGAAGGAAAGAAGGGCCTGAATAGTAATAAGAGAAATTTTCGCCTCTCTAATTAAGAAGTTAAGGCATTAATTTTTTTTTTTCAAGAAGTCCCAGTCAGCCATAATTTATGATATTAATAGAAAAAAGGTAAACAATGTGCGATGCGATGCCGTAACAATATGAAAACTATTTGGTATTTTGTTTCAGCCGACGCAACAATAGTCACGGTATAGCATCAAGTACAGGTCACTGGGACAGTATTTATTGTTTCAATGAATGACATTTTTTTGTCTAAAGCGGATGGGCACTGTCTAAATTCATAATTTAGTCATAAAAAAAAGCCTTAAATTATATTTATCAAAATCATTACAAAAATTAACTATTACCGTCCAGGTAATTAACACTACACACCGCCAGTAGGTCACCAGGAAACATACGATCTATAGCAGACGCAGCGTTATCAAAAGTTTAATTACCAAATCCTTCGATGTGGAGTACACAACAGAATTTTGTCAGCAATTTATTCTTTTAGTTAATTACCAATCATTGTTTATTACGTTTGTCAAAGTTGCATTTTTTGTTTGTTAAATTCTAAGACAGGAATTTACAGACACTAACAAATTTATAGAAAGATTAGCAAAGAAATTTTAGTTATTGGAAGTTTTCTGGCCCCATTATTAGATGTATTTATAAAATTTGTTATATTAAGAGGTTGCAAGAACATTGACAGGGGATATCTACTGGCAGAAGAAAACTAGAGCACTATGACGGAGCAGAACTGACGTTGATAAAAACATAGCCGTAGGCTAATCAATTCCCTTGGTGGAGAATTAATTTTGGGAAAAGGGCTAATAGTTGGAGGTTGCTGAAATTACCGATTAACTGATATAAGCCAAGTTATTGCCCACCTAACAGGTGAAGCGGTCTGAAGACCTCACCTTTTCGGACTACAAGCAGCTCGGGATACAAAGTGAATAACAAATAATCACACACAAAAAAAGAAGCCGTTTCAGCACATGGCTGGAAAGTTGACCAAGGTCCGGTATGGTTCCATAACCAGTAATACCCCACATTCACCGATTTTCCAGCAAAACCCCAGAAAAAAAAACCCGAATCACCACAAAAGGCACCATTATTACTGACTATAACTAACGCGAATAATTATCGGTCTGTAGACTACCTTCTTATTTTTTTTTTTCCTCTCCGGGGAGCCACGAGACCTTGTCGTTGGTGGAGAGGCTCAGCGGCCGTACGTCGCTGCAGAGATGTGGAGTCGTTTGGTCGTGACCAAGGGTGGCTCACCATACCAGGAAAGCAGACACTCAGCATCCTGGTATGCTGGGTGTCTGCTAGACAAACAGCGTGGAGGAGGACACTCGACTCGGCCTCAGCCCGCAATCTGGGTCTCGCGGCCCTGTTTCGGGATGGGGCCGAGTCGACTGCCCTCCGTGGAAACCTGCCTGGTATATCTCGCGCTCTAAGATCGGTGGTTGATGAGGAAGTATCTTAGGGCGTGAGGGCCTACCTTAACTGGTCGGCCAAGTGGAAGGCGAACCACAATAAAAATCCCTCCAAGTCACGGTGGAACAGCATAGGCCAAGGACTGCGTGGTTAGGGGAAAGCCTAATCGATACTATGCGAACTCCAGGGATGTGGCGACCCCACGGCTTAACTAGCCCGACCGGGGCAAGCGGGGCTCTGCCTCGGCCGTATGGCTCATTTCCCTAGCTACTCGTGGGACCTAACATGGACACACAAAATCAAACAATCAAGGCGAAGGATGATAGCGCCTCAAGCACATCCGAAAACATGGAAGTAGGGGACTGTAAAAGCCCCACTGACGTAGAAGAAGAACTTCTACGTTCAGACGAAGAGCTCGGCAAAGATCTGAGTGCCCTACGACTGAAGGGCGACGTGAGGATCAGGCTGAGTGGCGCTGCCAGAAAAAGGATGAAATTCCTCAAAAAAAAAGGGATGAGTGCAGACGAAGCCCGCAAGAAGGCCCTTGAGCCAATCAAAGAAAGGTCTAAAACCTCTGACATGTTCGAAAAAAGAGCCCGGTCAGAAGGAAACACCCCCGAGGCTCAAGCCAAAAAAAGAGCTAGGACAAGGGATACGGGCAGAAATGCCCCGCCCACAAAAAAGAAAACGAGCAGCAGTGCTCCGCCTTCCAGAGCTCCAAAACCAATCTTCAGCCAGATAGCTGGAGGCATAAAGGTAGGAATACTACCTACAGACTTCCCTAATTGCCTTTTGTCGGTGGAGCAAATTCAAGCCACCAAAGAGGCAATTATGGATAAGATCGTGGACGAGGTAGCATCGGATTGCCCGGTCAAACCGAAGTTTCTGAGCGCCCACAACAGACCCGGCTGGCTCGCTCTAGTTTGCGAAAACATAGCCACCAAGCAGTGGCTGCAAACTGCTGTCGCCTCCATCAAGCCTTGGGAGGAAGCTTCGCTAAGGATGGTAGAGGAATCTGACATTCCTCACTCTGGCGTCCTGGTTGCTCGATTCCCAAGCAGCATGGATTATTCCACTGAGAAAATCCTCAATCTCGTTCAAGGCCAAAATGAGGGCCTAAACGTCAAAAATTGGCGAGTCATCCGACGTAACGCCGAGGGCCATCTGGTCACACTAACCCTCTCTGTGGACAGTGCATCCGCAGAAAAACTCAAATCCGGAGGCTACGCGGTAAGTTACAAGTTAGGTCATACGACTATAAAACCGCAAAGCAGCCGGAGCACAACAGCTGTGGAGCAACCAAGCTCCCCAAAGAAAAGCGGCGCCGAACCAAGGGCAGGAACGTCTAAAGACTCAATGAGTCATAAAGACGAAAGTGCCCAGGTGGAGTGCGAAAAGTGAGTGCAACTCTAATGGCTCCCTCCAAGCAACCAAAGAGAAGCAACTCACCATGCATCAAATGCATCCAAATAAATCTTCAACACTCAAAAGCTGCCACTAGTGAGCTTAGAAGAAGAATGTTTGGACAAAAAATCAACGTAGGGCTACTTCAAGAGCCCTGGGTCAATGGAGGCTCTATAAAAGGCCTAAATATCAAATCATGTAAGTTAATCTACAACATTAACCATGAGCAAGAGTAGCATTGCTGCTTGACAAAAATTTAAAATTTTTACCTGTTCCAGAGTTCATCACACAAGACTTGGCAGCTGCTTTAGTAGAAGTGCCAACGGACGGGGGCTCAAGGCATATTCTCATAGCCTCAGCCTACTTTCCAGGTGATGACAACTCAGCACCGCCAGAGATCGTCCAACGACTCATCACGTGGTGCAGAGCGAGAAACAGACACTACATTATCGGGGCGGACGCCAACGCCCATCACCAGGTAGGATGGGGAAGCACCGATACAAACGCAAGGGGTGAGTACCTTTTTGAATATTTGAACTCTAACAACGTAGACATTATCAACAAAGGTAACAAACCCACTTTTATTAACGCCGTCAGACAAGAGGTCTTAGACGTGACTCTCGCTGACACATTTACATCTAACACAATAACCAACTGGCTTGTGTCAAATGAACCCTCCCTGTCGGACCATCAAGCAATAAGGTTCGACCTAGAGGCAGTTATAAATCACTCAGTACAGACAAGAATCCCAAAACTCACCAACTGGGTAACCTTTGTGGAGGGTCTGTGCCTGAGTCTAGATGAACTCCCTTCTGACATAAATACAATAGAAGAGCTAGAGGCATCATCTGACAATCTAACAAATGCGATAAAAAAATCCTATGAGAACAGTTGACCCGTTGTGCTTGATCAAAAAAAGCCTTGGTCATGTAGAAAATGCAGAAGGCTTACAATGCATGAGCTGTCAGTTGCTCAAAGTACAAATAAAGAGCCCTGTGGATCCCAAAACTGGCGTAAGTCTATCTCTCCAGGACCAAAGGACATTGACTCAATTTATTCACTCCTTATCGAGCTAAAAGGGGAAGTAGGACAGCTGTCCAATAATATTACTGAAGTAAAAACATCCTTTGAGTTTTTGAACGGTATGTATGAAGAACAGCGTCAGTGGAACAAAGTAATGGGAGAGATGATTGAGGAGACCAAAAATGAAAACAAAAAATTAAGAGATGAACTATCTTTAGTTCAGACAAAACTTGCAGAAATGGAAGCTGAAAAAGTAAGTAACAAACTTATTATTAATGGGGCCTTTGAGATTGGGGATACGGAAGAGACCTTGCTGGAGAGATCAATCAAGGTGCTGAAACATATTGATGACTCTATTGTAAAACAGAACATAGCTAATGTAAAAACCATACTTGTCAAGCAAAAGCCACCAATGGCTTCGGTCTCTTTCGATAATCCTGAGTATGTAAAAAAAATTATGCAAAAACGTCGTGAATTTAGAAACTTAAATACCCGGGCTTGTGGAATTTTTGATTCAAGCAAGCCTATCTATATAAACGAGTACTTGCCAGAACTTACATACAAATTGTTAAAAGAGGCGAAAAAATGCAAAGAAAGGGGATATAAGTATGTGTGGTGTCAAAATGGTTCAGTTTTATTAAGGAAAAATGATGGAGATAGGATTGTAAAAGTACGCAATTCCTTTCACTTGCAGAACATCCTTAAAGCCCCTGGGGATAATTAATATAAAAATTTAATTGAGTGTCAAATTTTGCGCAATAACTCCCAAAAGCAAAATGGAGCATAACGAACTGATTGACTCTTTTCGTGCGTCACAAACTAAAATATGTGATAATGTGGGTGAAGTGAGCGTAATTGTAAGGGATTTCAATAGTGCCCTCAACATCATACATGTAAACATAAGGGGTATTAAAACTAATTTTGATGACTTTTTATTACTGCTTAGTTCTTTGGAGGTTGGATTTGATGTTATTATAATGTCTGAAACGCATATAGTTGATAATCCTTTGGATTTTAACATAAACACTTACTCACTCTTTTATAACGATAGCTCTATTAACTGGTGTGATGGTACCATTGTATATGTTAAAAGTAACTTAGTCCTACATAATCAGGTGATTTGTATACATAACCATAAATTTTTGCGGTTGGAAATTATGAAAAATGAGACAAAAATTGGAATTATAGCCCATTATAGGCTTCCATCTTTGAATGAGAGTATATACCATGAGATACTATTACAATTGCTTACACGGGGACATTTTTCTTTGCGCCCGATTGAAATTTTTGCAGGTGACACTAACATCAATATTTTGGACGGGGCAAGGGAAAGTGTCTCTAACTATCTTACTTGTTTGTCTGGCTTGGGTTATTTTCCGCACATTAACATTGCCACTAGAAACAATTCTTGCCTAGACCATTTCTTTCTTAAGGGTTATAATGAATGCAACTCAGCGGTCCTAAATAACGACCTTACAGATCATTTTCCAATTGTTATGAGTGTTAAACTAAATATGCATAAACCTCAATCAGATCAGAGATTCTTTAAAAAACTGGACGCTGCATTATTAAGCAATTTTATAAAAAATGAATCTTGGCAAGACATTCTGTTAGAAAATAATTCGGACAGGATAGCTGAAAAATTAACTCATAAACTTAAAATGTATATTCAAAGTTCCACAAAAGAAGTTCGTATTAACAACAAATATAAATGCATAAAACCTTGGATTACTCCAGGGCTTGTTCGATGTATAAGACAAAGAAATTGCTTGAAGAGGGAAGCTACCAGAGCAAACAATGAACCTAATACTCTAAGAACATATACTGTATATAGGGACAGTTTGACCAAAGCCATCAGAAAATCTAAATTGAATTACTATAAATCAAAAATAAACCAAAATTTAAAAGACCCTAAAAAAATATGGCAGACCATTCAGGAAGCCTCAAACGAGTTTCATAGTCTAAACACAATTAAACTAATAAAGACAGATGATGGTCAACCTGTCTCTACAAGTATGGGGATCGCTAATGAATTTAATACTTTTTTTAGCACGATTGGTGCCAAACTGGCTAGGGGAATTCACCCAACTCCCCAAACCTATGACACTCTATGCAGCAGATCAATGTTTCTAAGACCTATCAGAGAGCCAGAGCTCATTGTAGTAATTGGTACACTGAAAAATACCAACTCATGCGGCGAGGATGGAATAAATTCTAAAGTGATAAAAGACAATCATAAACAACTTATCAAACCACTTTTACACCTCATTAATTGTATTTTTTCAACAGGTCACTATCCTCAAATTTTTAAAAAATCAATAATAATACCTATAAAGGGGGTGATAAAACTGATAAAAATAATTATAGACCCATTTCTTTATGCAGTGTCCTAAACAAAATTGTGGAAAAGTGTATAAAGGAAAGATTATGGGACCATTTGCAGCTTAATAAACTAATCTCTCCTCAACAGTTTGGATTCAGGCCAGAGGTTGGCACTGATAATGCTTTGTACGAGGTGAGTCAATTCATCTCGGATAGCATTAATAACAATCTTAAGCCAGTAGCAATATTTTTAGATCTAAAAAAAGCGTTTGATACGGTTGCGCATCCTATTCTGTTGAAACGACTTGAGAGTGTTGGTATTAGGGGAGTGGTGAATAATTTGTTCAAATCTTTCTTGAGTAATCGCGTTCAGGCGGTTAAGATTGATAACGTATTGAGCGATCTTCAGGAGGTTGAGGTTGGAGTGCCTCAGGGTACAGTGTTGGGTCCAATTCTGTTTTCAATCTATGTAAATAGTTTATTATATCTGAAAACAAGCGGGAAAATTGTATGCTTTGCAGATGATACCGCTATTTTAGTAGCTGAAAAATCTTGGCAGGAATCATTTAGGAAGGCAGAGTTGGACCTACACAAAATTAAGAGCTGGTTAGATGCTAATCAACTTACTTTGAACACAAATAAAACTAAATTCGTGTCTTTCTCAATAACTAAACGAGGTATGTCAAACAAAGAACATATAATCCTACATAGCTCCGATTGCAGTCTGTCCCGGCCTTGTAACTGCAATGCAAAGATAGTCTCTTGTAGTTCAATTAAGTACCTTGGGGTTTACTTTGACTGTTTCCTTAAGTGGGATGTTCACATGGATTATGTGAGCGGAAAAATAAGGAAGCTGGTTTATAAGTTTTCACAGATTCGGTATATTTTACCTCTAAAATTGACTAGAATGGTTTACTTCGCTTTAGCTGAATCCATTTTAAATTATGGTATTTTATGCTGGGGCTCAGCATGTGAGTCTGTGTTGTTACCTTTAAAAGTGGCACAAAAATATGTTTTAAAGGTGTTGTTATTTAAGCCTAAAATGTACCCTAGCGATCTACTGTTTAGGAATTCGGAATTTTTAAATGTTCGACAGTTATATTGTGTAAAAATAATACAATATTCATTAAAGTTTAATATATTTAAAAACACGGTTAGTCATTGTATACGCACTAGAGCTGTGACCAGATCGGATATTTGTACCACCCTACAATCGTTTTCCTTCACGCAGAGAAATATTTTACTGGACCAAGATTATTAAATATCTTACCTATACACCTTAAAAATCGATACTTATCTAAAATAAATAAATACAAAATAAAAGCTTGGGTGAAACAAAGCTTTGATCTGATTGTTAATAAACTAGTCTGGTTTGATTCAAACTGAATAATTATAATACTTATACAACTTAGTTATTTAGTATTTAAACAAACACGTGTCAGTTGGGAGCACACACAAATTTTTAAAATTCATCGTGCTCTTCATACTGGCTATTATGTAAATTATGTAATGTTTCTGATAATAATAATAATAATAATAATAATAAAAAATAATAATAATAATTGTAAAACAGAAGGCAGTCCACAGGGATGTGCCTTGGTGGAACGGGCAGCTGAGACGTCTGAAACAAGATGCCAGAAAACTGTTCAACAAGGCAAAAACCAACGGCAACTGGGCAGATTATAGAACAGCCCTAGACAAGTACAACCGTGAATTAAGAAAATCAAAAAGGAAATCGTGGAGACAATTCTGCGAGGGGATTGACGAATTAGCCCCAGCTCAACGTCTCCAAAAAGTTCTTTCAAAAAGCCACTCAAACGGAATTGGTCTGCTTAAAAAGCCAAACGGAGAACACTGTACCGACCATATAGAAAGTCTAGAGGTACTACTACAAACTCACTTTCCAGGTTCGGTAATCGTTGAAGCCCTGAACCTGGTCACTCTGCCTATCGAAGGGCCACAAAGCCCTAACGGCAGGAGCAAAAGGCTGGCTGGGAAAATCTTCACAATGAACAGAATAAAATGGGCGATCGATAGCTTCAGACCCTACAAATCTCCAGGCAAAGACGGAATTTTTCCCGCACAACTGCAAAAAGGCTACGAGTACTTAAAGGTAAACCTACAAAAGCTCTTTAAGGCAAGCCTGCTCCTAGGGCACATACCGCTATCTTGGAGGGAAGCTAATGTGATATTCATACCAAAAACGGGTCGCCAACCCGAGGACGAACCAAAATCATATCGTCCCATTAGTCTAACCTCCTTTCTCCTTAAGACAATGGAGAAAGCAATCGACCAGTACATCAGAAGCAAAACTCTATTGAGAAGACCGCTCTACTCGAAGCAATTTGCCTATCAGCCAGGCAAATCCACAATAAGTGCTTTACACTGCCTGGTTAAAGACATTGAAGACAATCGAGTGCAAAGAGATCGCTCTCACAGCTTTCATCGACATAGAGGGTGCCTTTGACAACACCTCACATCAATCAATCGCCAGAGCATTACAAGAATGGGATGTTGAAGTTCCAATTGTAAAATGGATAGAGTCGATGCTGAAGCACCGTCAGGTTACGGCTGAAATAAACGGAGCATCAGCTACCGCTACCACGGTCAGAGGGTGTCCTCAAGGAGGTGTTCTTTCTCCGCTACTATGGACACTGGTGGTAGACAAAATTCTTACCAGACTGAGTAGTGCTGGATACCAGGTCATAGGTTACGCAGATGACCTAGCCATTGTAATCAAGGGCAAGCATGAAGATATAGTGACAAGCCGAATGCAAAGTGCCCTAAACATCGTTAAAAATTGGAGCGAAGGCGAAGGACTATCCCTAAACGCAAACAAAATAATCCTTGTCCCGTTCACAAGAAGAAGGAAGCTAAATTTGAAAGCCCCGACCCTTAACGGTACACAACTAACATTTTCCAACGCAGTGAAGTACTTAGTGGTCACCCTGGACCAAACCCTCACTTGGAACAAACAGTTAGAGAAAACATGCTCTCGAGCTACATCAGCCATTTGGTCATGCCGAAGACTTGTTGGCAAAACATGGGGGCTAAAGCCAAAGATGGTATTCTGGATCTACGATCTACCAAACCATAATAAAGCCCATGGTCACATACGCCTCATTGGTGTGGTGGCCCAAAACCCAACAAGTCACCGCTCAGATTAAGCTAACAAAGGTGCAAAGGCTGATATGTCTAGGAATAACGGGAGCAATGTCAACTTGCCCAACCGCAGCTCTAGAGACGCTACTCAACATGCCCCCACTTCACCTATGTGTGAAAAGGAGGCAATAACCAGCGCTCACAGGCTATTCCAAATAGACAAGTTCAAGCCTGGCGATCTGACGGGACATCTGAAAATTCTTGACCTGATAACACTGGAGAATGCCAGCAAACCAAGTGACCACATGATGGTCAGATTGGACTTAGAGATGCCCTTCGCAGTGGTAATAAACGACCGCCAATCATGGGAGAATAAAGAACTACCACAAGCAGACAATGCATCTCTGTGGTACACAGATGGATCCAAGCTAATGGTAGGAGCTGGACTGGGCATTTCCGGCCCTAACTTCAAGCTCTCCAAGGCATTGGGTAAACATCTTACAATATTTCAAGCCGAACTGCTTGCCATAGATATATGTGCACAAGAGTGTCTTAACCAAAGCCTCAAAAGAAAACACATCTTCATACTATCGGACAGCCAAGCTGCCTTAAAAGCCTTGAGCGCTTTCAAATGCACGTCAAAACTAGTCTGGGAGTGTAAACAGACCCTAAAAACACTAGCGACACATAACTAGGTAACGCTGATGTGGCTGCCTGGTCATCGAGGCATAGAAGGAAACGAAGAGGCACATGGCCTCGCAAAGGAAGGGGCCTCAACACCATACCATGGACCAGAGCCCTACTGTGCCTTAATGAAAAGCCACATCATGGAAGAACTCAACAAATGGGAGAAAGACCAACTGTCATCATATTGGAGGCACACACCGGGACTCAGACAGTCAAAAAGGTTTATTACCCTTTCATCAAAAAGAGCTGAACAGCTCCTAAGCATGAGCAGACCAGACATCAGATTGGTGGTGGGACTGCTCACAGGACACTGCCCAGTAAAATACCATTTAAGATTAATGGACAGAGCAGAAGACGATCTCTGCAGATTCTGCTCAGACGCAATAGAAACCGCAGAGCACCTGCTCTGCGAATGTCCAGCCCAATTCTGCAAGAGGCTCAAATTCCTCGAGGGGGCAACACTGTCACCAGAAGAAGTGGGCCAACTGACACCCAGGAAAATAGCTTCCTTCGGCAGAAGTCTACGCTTCCTGGAGACAAATTAAGATGTAGAGTCATGCACAAAATATCTGCAAAGGTAGCAGTGCTGAGCGGCTGAAAAGCCGAAACGACTCCCCCGAAATCTACAATCTACCCTCTTATTTTCTAAAAACCATTATTTTATATAGTATTTAAGCGACCCTGGTGCGTGATCGCTGATTATAACAATTACCGATAAACTGTCATTGACATTGACCTTCCATGGGTTTAAGTTAACCGAATGTTATTTAAACGTTACGTGATCAATGATTTTCCTGAAATCCATGAACCTTTTTTGGAAGACGATTGGGTTTAATTAACCAAAGGGAGATACCCTATTATCCTAGATATGACATATCCCCCGGGCTTAGAAAGCTGGACCCCAGCTTTACAAAAAAAAAACTTATTACGCAAAGTTTTACACAATAAGGTTGAACAAAAATATATTGTCTGTCGATTTTAATCTGATACTCGGACGGAATCTAAGCTGGTGATTCCCTACATTGAAACGTCAATGATCACCTGACGTCACACCTGTTTTTGCCATATGAAACACCTCATACGGAAAATGTCAGTTAAAAATCAACGAACTGTACAAAAAAAATTACGAGATGTAGTCGCCGCGAAGAACGGTAAGTGTCGGCTCTTCTTTCCAGTTCCCTTGGCATTGGCTTTTTGGAGTTGAACTTCTGATAACATACATAGCCTTGCCAAACCTAGCTCCGTATAGTACTATGATAATGGTTAGTGCCCATGCCCATAACTGACATGTATCTGTGGTAAGCTTTATTTTAAATACACTTTCCTATTTTTATACTTGGCTCTAGTTTTGATTCTCACCCCACAAACCCCAGGACCGACAATATTTGAAAATTGAACATGATCGAGATTGCCAAATACTAAAGAAAAATTTGAATAAGCTTTATCAATGGTCTGATGCAAATAATATCCATTTTAATATAAATAAATGTTAGATATGTTGTTCACTTTACAAGGAAAAGAAATACCTCAAAATTTCATTATAAGATAAACGAGACAGATGCAAGAGGTTGGTCAAATGCGCGACCATGGAATTATCTTTGACTCCCAATTAAGCTTTAAGCTACATGTTTCTTATATAGTCAATAAGGCTCTTAGAATGTATGGATTTATAGTACGGAGCTGTAGGATGTTTCGAAACACAGACTGTATAAAAAGATTATATGTAGCACATGTAAGAAGTATTTCAGAGTACTGTTCAGTGGTATGGAATAAAAACTATAAATATGACATAGAACAGGTACAAAACAATTTTTTAAGATACATACATTACGAAGAAAGTGGTGAGTAGAGAGAAAACTTACAATCTAAAATCTTTAGATAATCGGAGAAAAATTGCTTCCATTATGTTTTTGTATAAACTAGTTGATAATTTCATTGTGGATTCTGATCTGATCGCGTATTCCAACTTTCACGTACTAAACTACAGAACTAGAAATCCACACACATTTTATATAAATACTCGAACAAAATATTACACTTATTCTCCCATTATTTCAATGTGTAAATTTTATAACCAATTTAGGTACGAATGTGATATTTTTAACCTAGGATTGGGAAAATTTAAGAAAACAGTTAATGGAACTGAGATGAGAAAGATATCAGTTAAATCATGTTATATGTAACAAAGTAAACCCAGTACCATAAGTATGCTAGTTCTTAACACCTACTCCTGTAATTGGATGTAAATTTGTTGAGTTTACAAATAAATAAATAAATTTTCTTATGAATACAAATTTATTGAAACAATAATCTGGAAATAATAACTACATCCTCAGAATAAAAGAAATTAAATTAATTTATAAAGTCGCGACTAGCGATTCGCATAACTTAAATAGACTCGACAGAACTATACATTTGGCAATAATTGTTATACAATTAGTGTTTAAACTGGTTTTCAGTAACCTTAGAAATTGTTCAGAAACAAGAAAAAAGGAAATTAGTTCGTTGCGAATCTATCACACTACCACTAAAGTGTCCATTGCACAGATCAGTCGAAGCCCTCCCCCGACGACACACCACTCATTTTTTTTTATTTATTAATCATAATAATTATGTAGTTTTAAATGCACAATTTTTTTTTTATAATTTTTCAAAATTTATTTAAATAAATGAAAACGTTTTACTAAATAAGAACAAACCGCACTCAATTTTAAAAATAAGACACTTTTATAACCACCAAAAATAGTGGAGGGCTAAATTTATAAGAATAATAATTAATAATATCATTAATTGTTACAGAGGATTATCACTTGTATGTTAAATCGTTTCATCAAATTTGCTTTGGATTCAATAGATTTTTTTGAAGTGTAGTGTAGTGTGCCAAAATTAAAATAAATTCCTTATTCAATAAATTTTATTGAGAATTAATAACCAAAAAAAGCAACCCACTATAAACTCCGACGATATTGTTTCAGTTGTTAACTTCAAAAAAATCACATACTTGAACAAAAGCCAAATCTGATACATAACTTTAGTGTATAATAATTAAATGATTTGTTTACAAAAAAAAAAAACATTAATAGTTTACGATAGATAGAACGAGTGCTGACCTTCAGACGCGGCCACTTTCAATTTATTGCGCATCACTTCGAGACTGGAATAGTCGGGCAGCTTGAGGTAGTTGACGCAAGTCATCACAGATGGCAGGAAATCGTCCGGGTTCATGTTGGGCTCTAGCGTTTTACGTACCACTGTTAACGGCGGAGAAAGCGCTTTGAAACCTGAAAACAAACACAATCTATGAAATAGAGTCTATATGAATGAAATGAACGAAAAATTTTGGTACTCTAAAGGTGAACATCTTTCTAAAATTGTTAAGGCTGATCCAACAGCCCTGCCTGTAGTTATTTTTCGGGTCGGTAGGAAGCGGGATGTAGTAAAAAGGTGGAGCGGGATGTAGTAAAAAGGTGGAGCGCGATGTGTGAGTCTATCTCTTTATTGAAGTAGAGCGAGACTATGAAGGAATATTTTAATCCACGCGACAGGTCCGGCCGCAGAACAGCGAACATTGTTCTTGTTAAACTGTTGAATATTTTATTGTTCACATATTTATAAAAAAACGTTTTATTTGAGAGTTATTGGGTATTACGCTATATTATTAGGTAATAATTATATTGAATAAAAAGTACACTTAGGTAACTGTTTTAATCTTGTTTACATAGTTTAGGAATTATCTCGGAAATTATTTATTAGATACATTTGCTAGGTAGGCAGTTAATTGATAATATGAATAAAAAAGCTAAATACCGTCGAAGGAATAAAGCCCGATTAAGACTTAATGCGAAACGATTGAAAAGAAAAAGCTTTTCAAAATCAAAGACTCAAACCAGTAAGTAGATACCTACAAGTAGAAAGATAGTAGCGCAACCGATAATTAATATCAGAACCAGTTAACCAGTTACACTACTGTATGTACATATCTATACTAAAATCGAGATGTATTAGCTATTTTCGGGTTCGAAAAAAGGACGTTTTTAGAACGGTTCAAAACAATCGCACAGTTCATCAATCAACAAAATGAGAACTCCTCAGCTATCACAAATTTCACTAATAAACTGTGCAAACACAAAAAATATAGAGAAACGGGAGATAACTTGGATTATTTGTTGTTCTCTGAAGTGAGGGATAGGTACAAGGATTTAAACGACTCCTCTTATAGAATGTACCTGCTCAAAACTGAAAATAACATCAATAGGAATCCTAGATCATTTTGGTCACATTTCAACAATCTCAAAAATAACTTTGTCCTTCCCTGTAACATAATGGCTCTACTGGCTGTAGTAATCAAGAAACTGTAGACTTGTTTGCAGACTTCTTTTCTAGTGTGTACTCGAGCCGCACCACTAACCAGGCTCCAGAATACTCATTCTCCAACGTCACTGATGTTCCTGCATACTCTGTTTCTTGTGCTGATATAATAGAACAAGTAAGAAATTCACCTGATAAGTTGTCATGTGGGCCGGATGGAATTCCCTTGCTCTTTATAAAGAAATGCCTGTATACCCTTGCGACGCCCCTGGCAAGTCTCTTCAACCATTCATTGTCAACAGGTTCTCACCCGGTTTTGTGGAAGTTCAGCTTTCTGAAACCAATATCTAAAACTGGGTCAAGAGAAGAGGTCACGAATTACAGGGCTGTTTGCACGCAGTCTGAGATTCCTAAGTTGCTAGATTGTCTCATTACCAGGAAACTTAGCTGGGACTGCAGGTACCTTTTAAATCCGGAACAGCATGGGTTTACGATGGGTAGGTCAACATCAACAAATTTGGTTTTGTATCAGAATTTTATTTTGAACAGCATGGAGAGGGGATTCCAAGTCGATTCTGTATACTCGGACTTCTCTAAAGCCTTTGACAAGGTTAACCATCGCCTGCTCATTAGGAAGCTTGGTTGTTTGGGGCTGAGAGGTTCAATTGTGAGTTGGTTTGATGACTTTCTTGTTGGGAGAACACAGGCAGTAAGGTATGGCGGTGTTGTGTCTCGGGTCTTTGATGTTCCTTCTGGAGTTCCTCAGGGGTCTCACTGTGGACCAATCTTGTTCAATCTGTTCATATCTGATGTCGGTAGTTCTGTTGCCCACAGCTCATTTTTGTCATTTGCAGATGATCTTAAACTTTATCGTTAGGTATCATCATTGGAAGACTCACAACTGCTGCAATATTATATCAATTCCTTTGATAAATGGTGTGGCTTGAACAAAATGGACCTCAATATCGCCAAATGTTATAGGATAACTTTTTCCAGTCGGTGAATTTCCCTTACACAATTAATAACACATCAATCAGGGAAGTAGCGAGCATTCGAGATTTGGGTGTGGAATTTGATTCCAAGATGTCATTTAATGGCCATGTTACCAATACTGTATCAAGGGCTGCAAAAACTACAATTATTAATATTTACTATTGATCATGACAAAAATACTTAAAATATTCTTCATTTGAATAAAAAACATGTAAAATTAAAATTTGTTTCACTTTCTCCTTAAATCTATTATTTGGTAGTTCTTTGATTTCCAATGGCAACACATTGAAATACTTTATTGCCCAGTAGCCAGGGCCATTCTGACACCTCTTCAGTCGCCTGTAACCTGGTATTAAATTACTTCTGTTTCTGGTGGGATAGGCATGTATGTCTTCATGAGTTGAGAACATATGGATATTGCTCTTTATATAAAGCAAATTCTCCAGAATATACAGAGAGGGCAGGGTAAGTATTCCTAGCTGTTGAAAAGTTGCCCTACAATCATCCCTGTAACCCAAACCACTCACCACCCTGACAATCCAAACAGACGCTGAGCACCTGAGGCATGACCCCATACAAGTACAGCATAGGAAAGTTGTGCCTGAAAAGTTGCGAAATAAGCAGTTCTTAGTACCATGGAGGACACATTTTCTGCAAGACGACGTAGCAGATACAAATAACTGTTCAGCTTTGAGGCTACAGTCTCAATGTGTATACCCCACTGTGCTTTTGGATCAATAAGAACCCCAAGGAACCTAGCTTGAGAAACTTGGTCTCTCACTGTCCCAATCTCTCTTAGAGCAAACACCATTCTCTCTGTCTTTGTCCTGGTCAACACTAACCTATTCGAATTAAACCATTTCTCAGCCATCTTCTGTGCCTCCAAAGAACTCAACAACGAAGCCTCAAGAGAGTCCGCCATCACAGAGATTGTTGTATTGTCGGCAAAGAGAGTATAATTTGACTTTTGATCTATTAAGGGCAAATCGTTAACATATATAAGGAAAAGTAATGGACCCAGAATGGACCCTTGAGGCACCCCTATTTTTATTTCCTGCCCCGCCGACATCACACCACTGTACTGCACAGCCTGGCACCTTCCTGTTAGATATGACTTTAAAAGTTTTCGGCTGCCATTACCGAAGTTATATGCTTCTAGCTTACGCAGAAGGATTCCATGGTCGACACAGTCAAAAGCTTTGCTGAGATCGCAAAACAGAACAGTATTATAACAGCGTCCCTCAAAAGCATCCATAATATCAGACATGGGATTTAGGATTCCCAAAATGGTGTTTCTTTTTTTTCTAAACCCAAACTGATTTTCATTGAAAAGATCATTCACTTCAAAAAAACTTACTATTTGCCCAGACATACATTTCTCAAAGACTTTGGACAGTATGGGTAGCAGCGATATCGGTCTGTAATTCTCCGCCTCATCTGGACAACCCTTCTTAAACAGAGGAACCACAATTGCCTTTTTCATGGACTGTGGAAAGGATCCTTCCCCAATACACAAGTTTATAAGTTTTGTGAGAGGTGCCAGAATAAGATTTTTTACTGATTTTATGATTTTTACATTCAAGCCATATACAGGGTGTCCAAAATACCATGGGCCACCATTGGTATATCAGAAACGGTAAGAGATACGAGGGCGGTTAAATTCGAAAAAAGTTGCCATTTTCAAAGGGTATTTAAAATATATTTTCGTTGTTGCCAAATTTTTATTAGTTTCCGAGATACAGGGTGATTTGTGAACAACAGCTAAAACGAATATTTCGAAAACTATTAATTTTAGAGACATTCTTTAAATTTGAAAGTTTCATGATTTTTTTTGCTCTACAATATGGTGTTTTGTAATGTTAAATTCGACGTTTCGTCTTCAGGATACCATCATCAACTTAATTTTTTTAAATACGGACCTGGATTTTTTATTTCATATTTTGAAAGGAAATCTAATTTGCAATCTTACCATGTGTCATACATGTATATTTTCCAACGTTTCGGTTAAAAGAACATCATCAAGCATTTTTATTTTTTCAATTTACGCTCGTTACGGTCCAGCGCTTGTTGTCAGTGTCAGATTAATTCATTTATTTCATTTGTCATTTATCAATTATTCGAGTCATTTAAATATCAAAATAACGTTCTCGAATGAAGAAAAGACCGATATGTTATTCATTTATGCAAGAGCATTTCGTAATGCTAAAAATGCTATTGAACTGTATGAAAACCATTCTCAAATTCATTGATGCAAAACTAGCAAAAAACTGAAAGCGCTGGACCGTACTCAGGGTAAATTTAAAATAAATATGCTTGATACGGGATTTTTTTACTGAAACGTTGGAAGATATACATGTATGACACATAGAAAGATTGCAAATTAAATTTCCTTTCAAAATATGAAATAAAAAATCCAGGTCCGTATTCAAAAAAATTAAGTTGATTATGGTATCCTGAAGAAAAAACGTCGGATTTAACATTACAAAACACCATATTGTAGAGCAAAACAAATCATGGAACTTTCAAATTTAAAAATTGTCTCTAAAATTAATAGTTTTCGAAATATTCAACAAAATAGTTTTAGGTGTTTTTCACAAATCACCCTGTATCTCGGAAACTAATAAAAATTTGGCAACAACGAAAATATATTTCAAATACCCTTTGAAAATGGCAACTTTTTTCTAATTTAACCGCCCTCCTATCTCTTACCGTTTCTGATATACCAATGGTGGCCCATGGTATTTTGGACACCCTGTATATCCCGGCTGTTCTTATTTTTAAGTTGGTTTATTATATCTCTAACTTCATTAAAACTTACTTCAGAGAAGGAGAATGTTCCCTGAAGATTAACATTTTTGAGATTTTCCAAAGGGTCAGTATCCGACTCTGGCATACCCTGCACAAGTTCATTAGCAATATTTGAAAAATATTTATTGAAGTCATCTGAAGTAAGGTTTTTTGATTCAATATTTTGCTTTCT